CTTGCAGTTTGTACTTGCCTTCTGTGCTATGCGCGCTTGTCAAGCCTCAATGAAGATTGCCTGAATGGCGACTATTCTCGCTAGTGCCATTCGTTGATGCGCTCTGTCTTCAGCAAGATAAGCAACATATCTCATTCACCAGACGCCACTTTCTGCCGTTGCTGCAATGAAGCCCTGATCGTTGCTTATCTGATATAACTTTGCATTACGTTTGTGCTCAGAGGAGATACTCGAAGCATCCTTCGCTCCATTGCTCTAGCCCGCATTCAGCATTCATTCTTTTGCTTTGGTTAGTGACCACGTTTCAAATCCGTAAACGTTCGACACGGTAGTAATGCGGAGATGAGAACGATCTTTCCGATCGGACATCGTGCACTTTTTAGGTTCCGTGCTTTCTGGTAAACGGCTGCTGAGACTTTTATGGGCTGTAAGCGCGTAGCTCAATTTACACTTACATTTGAAATGTCAACTGTGATTGCAGAATCCTTGTACACTTGCAGAAAAATTTCACTGATTTATACTGGTTTAGCTTGAAACACACAAAGATTGTATTTATGATCGTTTGGAGATTTACGATGGTACGGGAATTGATCCATCTGCGCTGCTTTTGAAGCTGTGTGGTCAGGTAGAATCAGTTTTGTACTTACTGGAATTGACCAGCTGTCGGTTTATTCTAATGTGGGCCGCAGCTAGCAACTTTCTGCTCTAATAATGAAATAAACTGCTTCACTTGATGGTCAATCTTCTGGAAATACAACCTGCTTTTTTACTGGCCGCATAATGACTCTTCCATGTACTATTGAACGTTTATCCACTGCGTACTGGCCATTTTTTTAATCAGAATTTTTCTCTCACTCCCTACCAAATCATCGTTTCTTTCACTTTCACCAGGTGTTTCTTTTGCATTTAAGATTGTGGTGAAATCGGTTGTGTCGCATTTTAACGCGGTATTGTTGCGCTTTATCTCCGATAGCTCGGTGCAGAAATCGGGGTTTCATATCAATTTCGCAAAAGGTTGAACATTCATTTTATGTCCAGTTTGTTTCGAACCTGGAATATGGAAGGAATACGCAATATCTGAAGGTCCACTGTGAAATATTACCAGCCTTTCAAGTTGCAGAAGTGGACGAATGCAAATCGAACGCTCATGGATGTGAGCATCGTTGCGTTAACACAATCGGTGGTTATGAATGCGAGTGCAATATTGGCTATTCACTTCGCCCTGATGGAAAAACTTGCCAGAGTAGGGCTCTTTGTCAGCCTTTTGCATTAGTTTTGGCACTAAAACGTAGTAATACTCAATTTTAGGCGCATGCGGTGGTATTATAAATGCATCCAATGGAACATTTAGTAGTCCAAATTTTCCGATGAATTATCCGCCACTAAAAACCTGTGCTTGGCAAATAGAAGCGGACGACAAATACCGGATTATCATCAATTTCACTCATTTTGACGTCGAAGGAATGAAATCAGCATGCTCGTATGATTACGTGCTCATCCACAATGATGAAACAACCGAAGAGCGTTACTGCGGTCGCTACAGCTCCCTCGTTTATACATCAACTACAAGTCGCATCAAAGTTGTGTTCGTTTCTGATAACACGGTTGGTTCTTCTCTCGTTTTACCTAGCTGGATAATCTGCCACAGCAGAATCATTACAAACTGTTTTAATGCATTTGTGCATGATCTATGTAAAAAGATAGCAAAAACGCGGATCACGCGGCCCAACACAGCTATGTGCGCTTTTGTCGTAAACGGAGCCCTTTCTCGATTGTTCTGGACCGGGAGGGATTTAAACCACTCCTTTTCATGTCCGAACGCAATGTGTTATCACAAGGCAGATACACAGTAGATTTGCTGGCAGGCTGATTTGCTCCTTTTCATGTCCGAACGCAATGTGTTATCACACTGCGTTCGGACATGAAAAGGAGCAAATCAGCCTGCCAGCAAATCTACTGTGTATCTGCCTTACATGGCAGGATGCACCTTTTTTTTTTTTCTTCGCTTTTTCTTTGTGGCAGATTCTTGGCCGGTTTTTCGCGAAAGCTTTTACTCTAATCTACTGCCGGCCTAGTTGATGAATGGACTAGTTTGCAGCAGAGTTCATCAAGACAACACTCTAATTGGTTCGTCATGAAAAGGACCAAAATTTTGGATCCATGGCTTGCTTTTTTTTCTGTGTATGGGTAAAGCATCAACCACCAGCGCACCTCTGCTGACTTAAATTATTAATGACATAAAAACTGATGTTCACAAACGCGGCGTGTTCGATGACGATCGTGTAAATCAGCGCGGACGAAATGTAAATCCTCGAAATGTTTAAAAGGCCATGCTGCAGTGGATATACTGAGGCAGTTCAGTTAAAGAATTCGAATCTTCCTCCTCCCATTTTTATGCGTTTTTTGCAGCAATGCAATGCGAAAAACGCATGTTGACGAGAGGTTGTCTGTGTGTGTGTGTGTCTGTGTGTGCGCTGGGCCTCTGTACCGATTTTTCATCTCGAGACCGGCAAAAAAGCTACAGGGCTTTGAAACTTTGGGGACATAATCTACATGCACGTACGGGACCCCATCCACAAAGTTGGCGCCAAAACCCGCGTGGTACCCGCGTACGGACCCCCCCCCCCAAAATTTTTCCCGCACAAATTCATAACTCGGGGATCTAACAAGCTAGAAGGCTGAAATCTTGGGGTAATGTTCCCCGCCCA